GGTGGCAATCCCCCACACCTGGCCAGCAGGTCGATACTCGGACAGCTAGACAAGCAGGACGCGCGCTTCTTCTGCTCTTCGTCGTCTTCTATTTCTACCGCGCCGGGAGGCTGCAAGACGTCCTTTTTTTTTTCTTCTTATTTTTGTTATTTTATGGCATTTTATTTTTAGATTTAAAGAACAAGAAGGATTTCCCGATAGGGACTAGCGTGAACATGTGACGTAGCTTGTTTTTTGATTTTGATATAAAAAAAAAAACGAGGAAAAACAAGTCGATGAAAGACGGTGGAAAAGCAGATGGAAAAAAGAGCATCAAAGCGGAGGATAGAAGGGGTGGTGGAGTAGAAGTCGAGGTGGGAGGAGGAAGAGGCGGTGGTGGACAGGTTGACTGTGATGGAAGGCCTGTAGTCAGGACACAGAGAGGATGGCAAGGCATAAGGTCAGGGGAGAAAGAGAGGGAGAAGAGGAGAGGAGGAGCAAAGGAGAAGAGAACGCGGAAGAAGAAGAGTGCAAAGAGAAGGCTGTTACCCGTTTTATCGCCGTATCATACAAGCATTTTCCCAACTCCAGGTAGGTCGCATCCAAACCAAAGATGGCCCTGTTTAGTCCCAGTTTTTTTTTTTATCGTCATCCCAGTCAAATGTCAAGGTAAAGGATTCGAGGTCGAGGTCGAGGTCGGTGCAGAGAGATAAGAGGACTTTAGTACGGAGCGTATCCTCTCCCACGGCCACGGTAGCCGCCTCCTCGGTATCCTCCCCGGGGCATGCCACGGCCGAACCCTCCGCGGCCTCGTCCACGGCCCCGTCCACGAGTCATGCCCGGCAGATTCGTGCGTTTCGGGACAACCTGGCTCGGTTTATTAGCATCCGCACTCTTTTGTATCCACGAGTAGTAACACACACCTTTATATTCCTCCCACGGAAGAGACTCTCGTTCAGCACTAAAGCTTGCGCCACAAGGCTGGGTTCACTGAACTCGACATACGCATACCTGCAGCGCTCCATTAGTCTCCTTCTCTTGCCAGGTAGCAGACCGCTCAGGTATATTTCAAGAAGCAAGAAAGGTCAAAATATCTAGGGCGGGAGACAAACCCCTTGGGATGGCCAGTGAATTTATCCAGTAATATGGTGACCCTGTTTATCGACCCGCAGCTCTGGAAGTGTGCCTGTATCTCCTCCGGCGAGGCCGCGTAGTCGACGTTGCCGACGAAGATACTCCTCGCGTCGATGTCCTCCTTGTCCTCTCGTAGGTTCTCCGTCTGCTGGTCCAGGGAAGCTTGCATCTCATGCAGCTTGGCCGCTTCCGACTCCATCTTTGTCAGTCTCTCTCGCATCGCTGCGATTTCTTCCTACAGTAGCACTGTTAGCTCTAGCTTCACTAGTCTTAATAGGCATAGATAGTGGATGGCATACTTCATCATCTCCAGCTTTCTCCTGGTTGTCTATAGGCTCTGCGGGAACCTCTTCTGCAGTGCTAGCCATGGTGCGGAGGATACGCTTGATTCACACAGCCAAAAGCTATAGAATAGACTAAGAAATATAAAACAATGGCTCTGGAAGCAAGTGGATTAAACAAACAAGACACAGAGGTAGCTGTTAGGTAGCGACAGAGCTGTCAGTCAAGAAAGTCAAGTTTGAGATCTTCAGTTAAAAGGGAAAAAAAGGCGATGCTGTAATAATGACTTTTAGTGGCAGATCACGTTACCTCCGCGCAACAAAGCTGGGTGAGTGACAGGGCAACAGCAGACAGGCAACAGTGACAGTTAATATACTAAGGTGATGGCATAGAAGCATAGTAGAAGTATAGTTATATTCAAAAGTGCTTTTGTTCTACTGACTATATTAATTCCATGCCAGGGAGAGTAGTTAGCTCAGTCCGCATAGGTAGCAGGGAGGAAAATGCAAGAGATATCAAGGTACAACGGATGGCCGAACGGTCTTGCAATACGAGAAACAAGAGCAGCAGCCCCTTTTAGAACAGAATACTATTATACCTCCCTTGAGTGGTCTCATGAAGAAGGGTTGCCATGGGACTGTTTCTCGCTGCTGGAAGCGCCGGACACCACGAACGGAGCAGTCTTCGTCTCGGACGGCGGTGGTTTAGATGCTAGTGGAGGAGAGGTGACGCCAACAGGGCGATTGGAATTCGGGTTGGCAGCGTCAGAAGGATAGGAAGTTTCAGGAGGCGGTGGTTTGGGTGGTAGATGGGATGGAGTGCCCCATTTAGCGATCGAGTCATGACTCTGGGTGTCGGTCTGTCTTCCGTAAGCTGGCTGCTGCTGAGGCTGGCCCACCATGTTGGGTGGTGTTCCTTTGGATTTAAAGTAGTGTGATGGAGGAGAAGGGTTCATCCCCGGTTTTGAGTCCCTGGAATTTGAGCGTGGATGGTTATTGAAATGCGGACTGGTGTATTGAGGAGATGGGGAATCACCACCGAAATAGCCGGCTTGTGAGTTGCTTGTTGGAGCAAACGATCTACTTTGAGGACTGAATCGCGAACGAGAAAAGCTGCCTGGAGCCGGATGGGCAGGCTTGCTGGGGATGAAGGGCTGTGGGGAGCCCATACCCTGGTTGTAAGGAGCCTGACCGGCTGCCATTGCATTGGGAGGCATGTTCGGCCAGTGGACTGGAGGGGAACGCGCCATGGTCTGAGGAGGATATCCAGGCTGGAAAGGGGTAGGTGTCCAGCCTGGAGTCGGTTGCGGGTACTGTGAGTGGTTGGGGGTGGAATACGCGGGTGCCCTTGGTGATGGGACAGTGGCAGAACGCTGAGCCATCATGGGTGATACCTGAGCTTGGTGGTGTTGATATTGATTGTACCCTTGGTGGCCGCCGCTTTGCTGCCAATTGTTCTGTCCCGGGTGCGTTTGCGGTCCGGAATAAGAAGGGAACCCATTCATACCACCGGATGGAGCATACATGGGGCCATGACCAGAAGGGCTCACCTGCTGGGGGTAATGATGCATCCCACCACCAGGAGGATTCTGAGCCATCACATAATAGTTTTGAGGCGGTATTCCACCGTGGTGAGCAGTGTTATGGTATACCGCCGGTCCGCCCGGAAGCTGAGGCGATGTATAGTACGCATTGAACTGTGATCTAGCCTCAAAGCCGTCGTCCTTGGGGGACCTGGGCTTGGATGCCTTCTTGCGTCCTGTCCTAGAGCTTGATCTTGACACATCGGCACTTTGTTCTCCGCTGCCAGTATCAGTAGATTTGGATTCAGGGAAGTCCCTGAATATCCGCTCTCGTGCTTCCTGATACTTAGCTTCACGCTCTTCTCTCGTTAGACTGGCACGATCTCTGGATGGCGTAGCTCCAGTCGATGATGTGCCGCCATTCCGGTCTTCATCATTGGTTCCATCTCCTCCTGATTCGGAAGCAGTTTTTGAAGGAACAGCCGAGCTGGCTGCCGTACTCCCTGCGGCTGAACCCCTCTCACCTGGCTGGCCCATACGGCGCATAATCTTCATCGTAGGCGCGTTTGCAGACGGGTTGTTTGAATTAGCAGGATGTAACATTGTTAATGGAGTTGGCCTGTCCTCGGTTAGTTTTGAAAGTGCGCCGTGAGTGATGTTCAGCACTACTCACAGTCTGCTCCACGGGGTTCGATGAAGGCGAACGGAAGTAACATTATTGTCGACAAAATGTGTGAGATGATAATAGTCACCCAGTTTGTGTGCAAGTAATCGTCCAAACGAGTTGCACGGCGGCAATTCCAGTGAAGCTTCACTGTAACAACCAGTTAGTTTGATCGGCAAGCGACTGGGGTGGCATAAGATTAATTACCTTGAGTTCTTGATGAAAGAAATAATCTTGTCCTCTAGCTGAAGGAGTAGCAGACGGTCCTTTGGAGATCCCATGGCCTCTACGAGCTTCTCATCCGGCTCACTTGGAAAACCATGCAGGACTTGTTCACCCTCCGGTGCTGGGAGTACTCCATTTCTACGTAGAGCGTCTTCGTTGAATGGCAACGTGCTTTTCTTCAACAGCTCTGGTTCACGTAGTATTGAATTCTTGTGCTGCTGCGAGTCACCACGGTTGGATGCAGATGGATCCGAATTAGCCTGGGAGCTGATAGCGTCCGTGGTAGGGGCGAGAAATTCATCCTCTTCTACGGCCTGAACACTGGCACTGTCATCCGGTCGTAAAGACTCTTTCTCATCCATGGCAAACGTAGTGACAGAAGCCATGCTTTTAGAATCGAAGCTGGTAGGTTTTGTAGATGAATTAGAGAGATGGGTTTGATCATCGTCAAACAAACTGTCCGTTCGTGGCTGCCCATCCTCTTGGGCACCACCGGCAGTCTCCGGTATAGGCCTCCCTTCTTCGTCCTTGGACAAACGGAGATTATCCAATGGCCCGGTCAGGCCATCATCATCATCTTTGTCTAATTTAATGTCGTGCGTAGCTGTACTCTGGCCATCTTGAGCCGGAAGGGTATTGGAGTTCGCGTTCAACTGGGCCAACGAGAAGCTATCAGGCCGCGTATTTTCATCACGGCCGTGCGTCTTGGGGGGCTCTGATTCAGTACAAGAATGCATGGCAGCAATCTAGTGAGGAGAGAAATGACGTTAGCATTAACAGGAACAGCTGCAATCAATCTCCCTTAGTGCTAAAACCCTACCTTTGCAAATGATGGTCGACTACAGGGTTCGCCTGGCCTTGTTGTCATTGCAATAAAGAAAGGCCGGCGGCCATGTGAAAGACAGATATTGACAGAAGGCCGAGCAATCGTATCGTCGACGTGGATGGATATCAACTGACAGAGAATCAGGGGATAGAAACAATATCTCTAAGAAAAGCTAGGATGCACAAGCCCAGGTACGGTGACGACATATCTCTGAGCTTCAAGACCCTGCATGAATAATGAGTTCATAGATAATCCGCAGCCGTTATTCCAACCATCCAACGGGTCTCGACTGGGGTCCTGCGCGCAGAGGCTTCCGTCCTAGTTATGGGGAACCGGGGGGGGCTGAGTGGGCGTGGATGTAGAGTCGCGGACGTAGAGTGCAGCAAAAAGCGCCTCAAGTCCGACAAACACCACGCCAGGCGTACGCAGAGGGTCGGCTGAGCGAGTAATTCCGTATACAGGCTGAGACGGCGCAGGGAAGACGATGGGCGACGGCAACGCTGAAGTTCTTCGACTTGGAGGATCGCAAGTGAAGAGGAAGAAGAGAACGAAAGGCGGCTTTTTGGCTGTGGGCTCCTGCTTAGTCAGCGGTGCCTCTGCACGACATCAAAAAATAGAGCGCGGCGACGGCGAGGTTGATGGAGACCGAACAACGCGAGACGGCGAAGAAGAAGCGCAGCACGGCGGGCGAGAGGAGATGAACAGGTACAGGAATATTCCCGGGCGGGCTGCTCCGTCGAAGGCGACCCCGACGACCGTCTGCCAGAAGTGCCTGAAGAAAGATAGGCTGCCCCAGCCCCAGCTCTGAGAGCTCTCGAATACGCAGTCTGAGCTGACAGTCTTTTAAGCCATTACAGCTACGAATGCACTACACAGCTGCAGGAGAGGCCGTACGGTGCTCGGCCATCGAGGACGCAGCAGCTTTCGAACCCACGACTGCGGCCACAGCTGTCGACGGAGGTGCCAAATGATTTACTCAGGACGTATGTCACAGCAGACGACAGCTAGAATCTGTTTCTATTGGGAGCTTCCACTAACTGATATTACATAGTAAAGGGGTTGCCGATGAGCAGCTGCGTCGAGCAAAGGAGGAACGGGCAAGGCTGAGCCCGAGTCGGAGCCCAGATAGAGAGAGTCACCACGGAGATGCTGCCCGAAGCTCACGGAAGAGAGCCAGGTCGGTATCCTCATACTCGTCAGTGTCAACAATATCAACCAACCGTTCGCCTTCGCCCCCGCCTCCCAGACGTGCAAGACAGGATCCACAGCCTTCACGGCCCAGCGTTCGTTCCCCTTCCAGAAGAAAGAGGTCAGGGACAGATGGGCTTGGTGAAGAGTCCGATACTTCTGATGGACGATCAAGAGGCAGTAGGCGTCGACATGATGATCACAACACTTGTCGTCCTCGGCGGACTCGTTATTCAAATTCTCCTAAGCCATACAGGCGCCATAACAGGTCCAGATCCAGAGACGACGTATCACGCAGTAGCAGGCGTGCATACAGGGAACGAGAAAGATCCATTGACGATGATAACAGGTATGGTACGCCAGGTTCGCGTGATAGGGCACAAAGTCGCTCCCGCATTCAGAGGCCGCCTGTGCGGAATAATTCTCCGCCTAGGCAGAGAAGCCTAAGCCCATATAGCAAACGCCTTGCTCTCACACAGGCCATGAATGCTCCGGGTAGATAGTCCTCAAATATTTCTTTCCAATGTTCAGAGACCTCCAGTCAAGTATTCTTCGTAATCATTACCAAATCCCCCAATGTTTGGGGTATCGCAATGGAATCTTGTCCAGAGGGAATCCATTCAGCGCGAGTTAACTATTAACTCCAATCTTCTCCCTTCTCTTGCTCTGCCTCCTCCCGTTCGCGGGTATGTATTCCCTGCACAAGCATTTCACCGTCGATTCCAGCAGTCTCTCCATCTCCATCACCCCCACGAGTACCCGCCGCCGTAGCTGTGGCCTGGGAATTCTGTATTCGTTGTCTCACAAGCTTAGCTATTGCATTATCCGTCCTGACATCCAGAATCTTCATCTTTTGTTCAAGGTCTCGTTTAAGGTCCCAGTTAGGCTTCTTTGGCTGTAGATTGAATAGGTCAATGGGTTTCTCTGCGTCTTCGTTCTCCTGAGCTGCCTGCGCTGTTGCTGCCGCTATCTCAGCTGCCTTGTCCTCCAACGTTGCTGCGCCTTGAGAAGGGTCATTTTCGAATCCAAGCTTCGCTCCCTTAGTCTCCCAGTCGTAGTTCCGTCCGGACAGGTATTTGGACGTTGACGTGCCAGCCGAATCCTTCTGATCCGTTGGCTCGCTCTCTGTCTCGCTTCGTTGTCTCTTCAGGGACGCTAATTTTGCAAGACGAGCTTTGCGGTCCGCAGCGGCCGCGTCTAGTGTCGTATGAGAGGATGACATGATCTCTAGATCTCTAGACGTCTGTTTGTGCCTGGAAGAAAATATTCGTCCTGAGTTTGCTGGTTGGATTTTTTGTTTCTCCTCCAAAGTCGCGAAAGATTGAAGGTTGTTTGATGTTTGCATCGCTGCTAATGAGATGTCGGATGCAAACTTTCCTCTTTCGGCATCTTTGACATCGCAGCTTTTTTTGTCCCAAAGACTCGCAGAAACATCTTGACATGAAGTGATTCACCAACGGGCCAGAGACCCTGCGATACAAGCTTGTTTGCATACTTGTACAGCGATATTCTGTTTAATTTTTGACTACCAGAGCTCTCCGGATCCTCTTACCCTATATATGCCCACAAATTCCATCTCTCAAGTTATGGGCAGCAGTTCCATAAGAGGTCTGACAGAGTTATGAGCCCTCTGGGCGGCGGGAAAGCAGGCCTACGCTCGCAGCTATTTGGCATTCTGTCGGCTGCTGCCCATGCTGATTCCGTCCGGATACCGTCGAATACATCAATTGCCCGGAAACAGTTCGCTTCTCTTTCACCTTCGGCGAGATATGCTACCAGCCTCAGAAGCACCTACGACGAGCCAGACTCGGGGCTGCCACCTCCGGAACCGACCGTTAATAGAGGCCTTCGAGACTCCGAATCATCCTCCAGGCGCAAAGGCTTAGCAAGACGACGAAAGTCGGAGGAAACTGGTCGTCACGAACAAAATGAGCAGCCACAGCACCGGCGTATAGATATACCCCAACGCAAGCAAACACCTACGTCCCGTATGAATGAAAAATCAAAACTCACCCATAGACTTGCTCCTCCCATAAGTGCTCCTTTGAGGTATCTAAAGGGCTATAACCTATCACAACCAAAACGACGGCAACTTCGTGGGAAGCTTGAGAGTGAGTGTGCGGGTATCCAATCCTATGGAGACCATGCTGTTCATCCAAGTGAATATTTGGTTAGAGAAATGTCACTCTATCCGCTCACACACATCCATCCGAGTTGGAAGAAGAACTTGAAAACACTATACGATCATAAACGCCGAAATGTATCAGTATCGGAAACTTGGAGATTGTTGAGCACAGAAGACTCCGAAGTCGTGCGTCGATGGATCAAGAGTATACTGAGTTCTCCTCGCACCGAACCCCCTCCTTCTACACGATGGCGGCGTCTTTGCCGAACTGAAGCTGCAAGGCGGTGGCCGATTATGATATTATGGCTTCTTCTACATTCCCCGGCACGAGCCTTGCGGTTTTTAGAGGTGACGACAACTCGCTTTTCTCCTTCCTTTCCCATGGTTGCAGACTGTTTTATCTTTCTTGAAAGATTTCATGTTGCAGAATTTCAGGACTCCCCAAAACTGAAAAGCAGATATACACGTGCTTTACAGCACTGTCTCCGCCCGGAGGTTTTGCCTTACTTGTCAAGAGACTCACAGACCGGGTTTCGGCTCTACCTTAAATACTGCGAACACCACAACCTAGTGAAGTGCTTCAACTATGTTCTCAAAAACCAAAAATTTCTCTCCCTGGAGACTTTGTTTTATTTCACCGACCTTTTTACTAAGAATGGGGATATTTCAGCAGCGTTAACTTCGCTACACCTTCTTATAATGCGATTCGAATCCCAAAAGCCTGTCAGATATCAGAAGATTTCGGATCGCTGCTGCAACCTTCTAAAGTTAGATCGCTACACTCGTCAAGATGATGGTACCGTCTCCTTTGATATCCTGCCAAGGATACTAGAGATGGGAGTGCAGCCTGATTTGTCGATCTTCAATATCGTGGTGTCTAATGCTTTGAGAGCAGATGACCTGGACACTGCGCTGCAGATAGTTCAATTGATGGAGAACCAAGGGGTAACGCCCGATTCGTATACTCATCTCTCAGTATTGCACCATGCTGTACGCCTCAGGGACCACGAAAAGGTGGACCATGTACTCAGCAAAATTGCCAAAGTCGATTCTCTATCCACACAACCACACCTTGTCAGTAAAACGTTGCATGCAATGCTCCTGTTTCCCCACAATTCAAGCCCGGGCCAAACAGGGTCAATGGAATCATTTCATAAAATGCTTGACGTTTATAAGAAGTCGCATCAAATACAACCACTTGTTGACCTAGGGCTTGTACCACGCAGCCAGAACGATGAACTGCTTTCAGCAAGCAAATCTCCGCCTTCGAGTCAAGCTCTTAATATTATGATCACCGCACACCTAAGGACGCGCCCTCAAGCCGACAAAATTTGGAGATACTTCACACGATTCCAAGCATTGGTGGCCAGTGGACACCCCATGATCACGCCTCTGATATCAACAGACTACGTCTTCAACAGCTTCCTCATGGCACTTCGCTTTGAGCCTCAAATGATATATAAATGTTTCAAGATTCTGAACTACATGCTTCAACCTCTACCTGAAGTAGCTATTCAAACGATGAAAGCCCATCATGGCGGTCCAGTTCCACTGCGGCCCGCGCAACCATCTCAACGAACATGGACAATCTTACTGAACACGTTAATTTCTCATAATCAAATGCAGGCTGCGGAGAGTCTTTACAAGACCATGAAAGAGCGTGGAGTGGAGATTAACGACGTGGCCTGGAACATACTAATCCGAGGATATGCTTGTAACCAAATGGTCGAAGCAGCGGCTAACGCACTCAAGGAGATGGAGAGGCAGTCTTGGAGCCCCGATGGACATACAGTCAAGGCTTTGGGTTTCATTGAGAATCAGGAGTTGCTACGGACTCTCCTTGATCGTTTAGATGCCAGCGAGCCTGAGTCGGAGAATTCTAAGCTTGTCACCAAGCAGTGAGAGATGCTGATGTATAGATAGCGCTTTTTGAATAATACCCGGATCTAGTCAATATTGTACTATAGACATATTGTATTATACGACGCAATAAATAATTGAAACGAGTAGATGATCATTATACAACAAGGCGTTCTTTGTAGTATTTTCTTTTACCGTTTACGCAAGTCAGGGTTTTGTAGAGATTTAGCCAGGTTTCATGATTTGGTCTAAAAGTTGCAGTTACTCCTTTTCCCTCGCACACGCCAATTACAGAATAAGAGAACATAAAAAAACATAACCCCATAAGATGCAAAAGTTGACTAGTTTCCGAAAAAGAGGGATATCTAAACCGCAATAATTAGAAATGATATTCAAGCTCGATTCAGGGAAGCCTACACTTACGGCCATGATGATGCAGCAAATGCTGACATATGGACTTAATCTCTCGCCCACCCTGGCGCATTTCCAGAATATACCAAAGAACCTGCGGAAGTTAGCAAGATCATTACTGCTGGGAGTAGGCACTTGTATTACCCATTCTGATGGCGGTCCATGATTCCAGGCATTATGCTGTGTGCATAGGTACTTGTACAGATAATCAAGAGAATCACTAATAGAAGTGATTGGAAGTTGAAGAGGGCAGCCTAGAGAACATTGTCAGGTAAAAACGCCTTTTGGACTAGTATAGATTATCCAAAACGGAGATTCCAGCATACCATGGCTATCCAGCAGAACCTCTATCTTCTATGAATCAAACTGCGTGCCGGCGATGCATTTCTTGTCTGCGTCTGTTGCGCTCAAGAAGAAAGTCGACAGTGGCCCAAGTGTTGGTCACGTGATGCAACATGATTTAGACGCGCGCGCTTGTCGAGTAACTAGTGAGTTAAGCGCTTTGTCGCTTCTTGACTTCTTCTCGGTCCTCACCATCGGAAACACCAACAACACAGACAGCAGCTTTGCTCGGAACACTGCAGTTGAAGGGAGAACATTCGGCTTTTTTTATGCCTCAGAAAAGGCGTACTAACCGACAGGCAATCTGACCGAAGGATAGGAACGAGGAGTAGAGGCGAGCAACAATGTCAGAACCGAGGGTTCGCTTGACACGACATCAAGGCCAACTGAGCTTCGGCCCTGAGAGTATGACATTTCTGAGACCCCCTCTGTTTTTGTTTTCGGCTACTAACAGTCATATTGTGCAGTTCGTCAGTTTCTTTATGCCTACGGTGACACTACTCCTCATTCTAGCTACCCTCAGGAACCCAACCCTGAGACTGTTCGCGTCCTCGATGAGATTGTAACAGACTTCGTTATTGAGACTTGCCACGAAGCAGCCCAGGTCGCCAACTATTCAAACCGTCAGAAAGTTAAATCAGATGACTTTCGCTTCATTCTACGTCGGGATCCTATTAAGCTTGGCCGTGTTCAGGAGTTGTTCCGGTTAGAACGCGAGCTTAAGGAGGCTCGAAAGGCCTTTGACCAAAATGATGATCGTTTAGGCGGAAACTTAAAGGAGTCATCTAAAGCAGAACTGGCGGATCTAGCAGGTGAAGCTGGCGCACAGGATGACAACTTCGCAAAAGACGGCACCACTGGACCGAAGCCTAGAGGCAAGCGAGGGAAGTATAAGAAGAGACCACCCCCGGCCGACCAGGCTGGTAATGGCACAGGAAAGAAGCGCAAGGTAGCATCTTTTGATGATTTCTTTACATAAACGTGCCTTCCTTGATTAATATGCCTCCGACTATTGTTAAGTTTTTCATATGGCCTGCGGAACTGCTCAGCTGGATCAATCGAGCATGCAAGCAAACAAATACATTCGGGGACAAAAATCCGCTACCTACGATGCATACTACATAACTGCATCCCATCCCCTGGCTTTACCAATCGCTAGAAAAGAGGGATGAATAACATCCCGGAACTATTCCAGGAACGCATTATACCGGGTATAATCGTGCCAGCAGATTGTGCATACACGCCACGCGATCAGCACCAGTTACTGTTTCGGCCCCTCGAACACCAAGTATATGACAGAAACAGGAATTCGTTTCATTCGTCTACCTGATTAAAAAGCCCCATTGATCGTGGACATAATGCAATCATAACTCCAAAGACGCCTTCGTTTTCCCACAACCGACGTGAAGCACGACTCCAAAAGTAAATTTATCGAACGGCCTGCCAGTTCCATAACTACAGTTAAGACTGGGGAAACCTGGTGAAGGTGAAGAACATTCTGGCGACTGTCTCGTTTCTCTTTAAGCTCGCAGCTCCTCGGCTTGAGGACCACCTCGTTGACCACCTCGGCCTCTGTTGGATCGGTGACCGCGCTGACCACTGGATTCTCCAGCGTTGCCTCCAGTCGCATTACCTTCACCGCCTCCTCCAAGGGTAAGCTGGGCAGTTGCAAGCCGGTTGGAAAGCTCCATTTGTGTACGGATGGAGTTTGCAAGATATGAGACCACAAGGACGTCCTGGATGTGTTTGTTACTGTCAAAAGGAGTTAGTGTTTATAGTTCGACGTTGTAAGTAAAATAGAAGAATAAAGAAGTTGGGCACATACAAGTCACTTTCGATCTCGGCGGCATCCACCTTTGGTGCGAGTGCGAGGGCGTTGAGCAAAAACTGGCCAAGAGCTGTGGAAGCTGGCGCCTCCTCGTCCATAACTGACTCCACGTATCTGGAAACACGGTCAATCATACCAATGACCTCCTCGATAGATCTCTCTAAGCTGTCGATATCGGTAAAGAGGTTTGTCGCCCGGTCTTCCCTATCCCGAGCTGCCGCAATTGCTTCCAAACCATTCTTCTCCGCGTCTCCATATCTGATCTCGTATGGCACTGGTATGAATGCCGCACTATCCGCAGCTCGCTCCGTTGTGACACCAACTGGCGCAGAGATATATGTCCTAGTCACAATATCCTTTCCAGGTTCGGTGGAAACCGTCAAGTGAACAGCTGGATGAGGCCATGTTCCATCACCGTGTCCACCGTAAAAATTCTGAATCAAAGCGGAAAATGTGTTGAGCTCCGACGAGGTGGCATACCATCCCACGAGAACCTCCTTGGGGTTGGCCTTCAGGTGAAGAGAGAGCATCTGCTTCTGGTATTCCATATCAACTTCAACCTGGTCGGTCGTCTCCGTGTGGCCAACAGCGAAACAGGTCCGGATCTCGACCTCAGTCCCATCTTCGGATCGAGTGCCTAGTAGGGTGCCGATAACTCGTTCCTGGTCGGCATTGCGTCGGAGAGAGTGGTCGAGGATAGAGAAGATAGCCTATAAACCGCATCTTGTCAGCCTATGCACCTTGTATCCTGCCTCTGCTTCCTGTGCCGTTTTCCGCTTACCTGGGGCTGTATGATAACGCTGAGAGGGGCAGTGGTGGGCGCAACTCCTACGGTAGCTGGTCCCAGAGGCCGCGCAATATGGATAAATGAGCCAGTGTCAGCCATGATTGCAAAAGGATCAGGTAGTATCGTCCTTGGTCAGTGTTTCTGGCTGGCGGCGATGCGATTCAACCAACGTTCGTCTTCTGCGTCGTCTTCGTTCATCGAGATGTTCGTTATTTGTGTGTGGCGGAAATTTTCTACGCTTAGATAAGATAAGATCGAGATCAGAAAAGCAACCTTAAAATATATAAAAAAAAAAGCTGCAAAAAGTCAACAAGAAGGTAGCTGTCAATTGGAGGGAGTTTCTGCACTGGGTTGCTAAAATTGGCTTGCTAGTCAATCTAGAAGCCTGGCACCATGGCAATACAGCATAAGAAAGGCGGAGGCCATCGAGGCAGAGGATCTAAAACTGGCCGGAGTAGGGGGCGCAAGTTTGAGACCTCCCGGCTCAAAGATGTCCGGTAGGAAACCGAGCTATTGTTGTGGTGTCTTGACAATATACTAACTGACATAATAGTGAAGATGAGTCTTCTGGAGGGGAAGAAGATGTAGATGGCCAGCCGACCGAAGACATGAACGATAGCGAAGGGACTGATGTGTCCTCCGAGAGTGGCCTGGATGAACCGCCGAAGGAGAACTCGTATAGCACTCTGTTGAAACTGCTGAATACCGATGCCAAATCAAATGAGCCGGCGCGAAAGAAACGAAAGATAAAGGCCAATGAACCAGATGCAAACCCGGTGGAGGTGTCGATACCGACGGCAGATGATACTGAACAAATGGATGAAGTTGCTGACACGGAGGCATCAGCATCAGAGGACGAAAATATGGACGATGAAGACATACCTGATGAAGATTATGCTGAAGATATTGGTACAGATGGTTAGTGAATTTTGAATGTTGCTTGACCAGGGCTTTGGCTGATGATATTCTATAGGCAGAAACGACATGTTTGAGCTGCACTTCGGCAACCCTGATGAAACGGAGCTATCTCATAAGATCCAAGCATGCTCAAAAGCATGGAAATCTACAAAAGCAGACCTTATTGATGGGCTGTATTCTGTGGTGTCTATGCCGGATGCCGGAGGAATTTCAAGTGCCAGTCTGCCTACGACACCCTCTCCCGCCGACCTTAAGGTAAGTAGTCCTGGAAGCTTGTTGGTTCGTTCGATTGCTAACATACTGCCAGCTCAAACAAAAACTAGCAAGGAATGCTGTATCATTTGATCGTCTTAATAGCTGCTTGACCCCTTACATATTTGGATACCATGACACCCTCTTTTGCTCTCGAACAACTCAAAACTCAGCCAAACTACGGGATCTATACTGTTTGCATGCTTTGAACCATGTTTTGAAAACAAGGGACCGTGTGATTAAGAATAGTGCTATCTTGTCAAGGGAGAATAACGGTGATGTTGAGCTCAGAGATCAAGGCTTCACACGCCCCAAGGTTCTGATAATACTTCCAACTCGACAGGCATGCGTTCGAGTTATCAATTCATTCACCAAGATTTATCCCATGGAACAACAAGAGAACAAGAAAAGGTTCATGGACAGTTTTTCTGCTGCCGATAGTGACGAATGGGCCCACAAACCAGACGACTTCAAGGAGCTGTTTGGAGGTAATGACGATGACATGTTCCGGCTGGGCTTCAAATTCACGCGGAAATCGCTTAAGTTCTTTTCGAAGTTTTATAGCTCTGATATCATTCTCGCGAGTCCTCTTGGCTTGCGAACGGCCATAGAAAAGGAAGGGTATGTATCAATCTCGACTCTGTGAGGTTGGTGATAGCTAACAGTGTTCAATATAGAGGGAAGAAAAACGAGAATGACTTTTTGTCTTCTATTGAGATGGTGATTGTCGATCATGCAGATGCGCTCATGATGCAAAACTGGGACCACGTCGAGTACATATTCTCCAATCTCAATCTTCAGCCAAAAGAAGCACATGGCTGTGACTTTAGCAGAGTGAGGCAATGGTACCTGGATGGGCATGGCAAGTTCCTCCGCCAGACGCTGGTATTCTCAGCTTTTAATACCCCTGAGCTGAACGCACTCTACAATACACAAATGCAAAATGTTTTTGGAAAAGCCAAAATTATGTCCAAGTACGAGGGTGCCATGTTGAATCTTCGGCTCCCAATATCCGTCAAGCAGACCTTTTCCCGCTTTGATTCTGCTTCACCGCTTAAGGACCCCGAAGCTCGGTTCCAGTACTTCACTCGAACTGTTCTTGCTAGCCTTGCTCGAGGCTGGACAGAATCAAGTCCCCGAAAGAAGTCAGGGGGAACACTGATATTCATTCCGTCCTATCTTGATTTTGTCCGTGTTCGGAACCATTTTGCCAATTCCTCGCAGACGGAGAATATATCCTTTGGATTGATATCGGAGTATACATCTGTACGTGACTCTTCAAGGGCCAGAAGTCACTTTATGAATGGTCGACATTCGGTGCTCCTATATACGGAGCGAGCACATCATTTCCGCCGGTATAATATCCGAGGCGTCACAAACATTGTGATGTATGGGCTACCTGATAACCCGATATTCTGGGGAGATCTGATTGAGTATTTGGGATCTGCCGCCGGCGGTACAAGTACTCCAACAGTCAGGGTGCTTTTCTCCAAGTGGGATGCTCTGAAGCTAGAGAGGATAGTTGGAACTGCTAGGGTTCGAAGTATGTTGTTGGAAAAAGGGGGAGATACCTTTACCTTTGTATAACCACGCCCGTGTATAGATACTATAAAGAGTAGAATCTCACCAAAACCAGGTAAATATTATATTTTACGTCCGTCTAAATGGACGGGTCATCTATTGAGTAAGTCCCTTTTCCTTTCGCCTTTTTTTTTTTTTTTTTTTCGCTTGCCTATATAGCAGTCAAAAGATCTAGTATCAATCATTTCTGTGTTGACCCAGCAAGGCTTCTGTTTCGCCTTCACTGGCCGAAGAACGATCCCGAGCTTTCCACGGCTTAGGCAAAGCCTGGTCCTCAACATCATGGTTCCCATTGGTATTCTGCGTTTCTCCCGGCTTCGTCTGGCTGCTCGTATCCTTCTTTTTACTCTTTCCAGCCGCAAGGGCGACATACAATGCACTCAGCAGAATGACGGTAGAGCCTAGCAAACTGGTAGACGATGGGGTAGTGTTCCATACCACCTTGTCATAAAAGAGAGCAAAGACAATCTGCAGGTAAATCATGGAGGTAGCACTAGATCCATGTGTAGATGGTTTCCCGTCAATCTTTGGCGGTACGTACGAAAGACCCGCGGTAACCAGGTACTGGAAGAGAAAGCCACAGAGACCCAAGGCAAGGAGCAAAAGCAGCTCGTTGACGTTTGCAGGCATTCTCAGCTCGGCTCCTGGGATGACCAGAACGGCCAGGAGACACATCACCGAGGTCAAGAGAGCAAAGTAGTTGACGCTGACTAGCGGGTGGGCACGCGGTCCAATTTTGCGTATTAGGGTATATGCCGATGTAGCTCCCATGACTCCCACCAGGCCGGCTCCAACAGCAATCAGATGCTGTTTGGTACTGGGCTCTTTGACAGCAGTGTCGAATAGAAGGTTCGAGTCATGGAGGTCCGTGGCCGCCTTTGCGTGAGGTTCTTTGGGAAAAAGAGCCGCCGGCCGGGCAATGAGGATGACTCCCAGGATCGAAATGACGCCCGCGAGCTGCTGGCTTCTTGTGAACTTCTCGTTTGGCATGATGAACGAGGCGACGTAGCAGGAGGCAATGGGGCAGAGGAAGGTCAGGACGGTAGCCTCTGATAGCGGTAGGTATATGAGGGAATAGTACAGGCTGAGCACGCCTATGAAGCCGCTGATTCCTCGCAGTATCAGGAGCGGGCGTACGGCTCTGGAGCCGAAGGGCTCGGGTACTTTCATGTACCACATGTAGATGAAGCTGAACAGGGCGGTTGCGGGCATGCGTGCTAGGAGGATCTGGGGTACCGTTAGCTACGCAGCAAGACAACGAGAGAACGAGTTGAAGAAGAACAAGGAAGAGACTGACGTGGAACGGCGTCATGCCTTTGCCGTGAGGTCCGTCTTGCTCGAGCAGTCTGGCCATGACGTTCATCGTGGCACCGAAGAACTGCGCGAGCAGGACGAGCAGCATGCCTTTACCCTGCAACCACATCTGATGCGTCCTTTGCAGCCATCCGGACGATTTGCTGGAGGTTTCCGAGCTGGTATTGTCTTCATGGCTTTGGCTGGCGCTGCCGGGGGTGTCTTTGGCGGCGTTTGAAGGCTCTTCCGGCGGTGCGGGTGAGCTCGAAGCTCCCGCGGCGGACATGGCAGTCAGCTATTAATGCAGTAACAGTTTGATACAGCTGTTGAACAGGCCTGCTGCTGGATTATAGGTGGAATTGGAGACTTGGTCCTGCTGTCTCGCAGGTCGCTTTCGTATTCAAATATTATTGATATTGATAACTGTTGATAGATGAAGGCGGGAAAATTATTTATTTGGTGATTCTCGGCAAAAGGATTTGTTTACCCGAGGGCGCATCTATAGATGCAGCAGACCGACATATTGGTTACATTGAGATTGATAGATATTGAGACTAATCTTTTTTATATTGGTAGATACTAAGAAGATGATGATATTGATCTTGCTAGTCATGATGGTAAGATATTATGTTTACACACAGAAAGAAGGAGAAAGAGCTTAACCAACTGCCGGCAACAGTTTTCGAAAAGGAAGAGCATATAGAGCCCCGAGCTGTAGAGCAGCGTATACATCAGCGCTATTAGGTTAGTATAGAACGGCCGCAGTCACAATCACTCCTTTCCCGCGGCGCTCGAGGCATGCCGGTCGGTCTCCTCGTCGCTCCCGGAGGGTGACACAGGCCGGCTGGCCGTGTTATGCAGTGATGTCCTGCTCCTCATCATCTAAGACGTGTCAGCCATAAAGAGACGTTATAAAGAGACGTTATGACGGATCAAATAGCTTGTTTCTAGAGAGAGAGAAAGTCAAACATACCCACGAACGAACACCTCCAATCAGCCCGAGCGAGTAACCCGTAGCAAAGTCCTCGCTTCTGCCAGCTACGCCGGGACTCTCAGGCCTGCTGGGCGGATCAGCATGTAGATGGGCCCTGGAGGCCGCAGCAGATCCCCAATTTGGACCGGCCTCTCGACTCGGGCTGGTAGGACGACTGTTCTGCCAGAGGTGGCGGAGCTCCTTGCTCAGCTCCTGGCCCGTAGTAGACCAGTTGTTCTTGATGGCGTTACGCAGCTCGGTGACATGTCGTTTGATTTCGAGCTCGTTCTTCTTGACCCATGAAACATTCAGTTCCTGCCGTGAAGCCCCCCGCTTGAACTGGCGAGCTATATACTTGTCATAGTCCCGAACAACCCTATACAACCCAGCCGTTAGTAGGAGGTTCAATCAATATCTTTTGGAGCGGGAGCGGGGGTGAATACTTGGTGATGATGCCGGTGGTGCTCACGCCCTCTGTACGTTGCGTGACGAGGAACTTGCCCATCTGCTTGATGGGGGCGTAGATGTCGTCTCCCTCGTCTGCGCCGTACGGCAGGTCATCGTGAGCCACGTAGTCGATCTGGTGTTCCTCCAGGAACTCCGGCGTGACTATCCAGGGGCAATTGGGAATAACCTCGTCCACCCACTTGCAGTGGCGGATAGTCTCTGCTCGCTCCGCCTCGTTCAGCACCGTCAGGCCCTTCCGTTTGTGCGTTTCTGCGTCACCCGTCACCCCAACTATGAGATATGTGTTTGGAATCAGCGTCTTTGCCTGCTCGAGCTGTCTCATGTGTCTGTATGCCCGTTAGCACACCGCAAGTAGCAGTTTATATGTCAAGTAGAAGTAGAAGTAGGAGGCTGTAACGCACCCCAGATGGAACAAATCAAACACTCCATCCGCATAGACCCTCACCGGCCTGTCTGTCGGCGGCGGATTGGTATGGTACCCCTTTGGATCCTGGATTCCGGCATGCGTAGCTGGCTTCATCTGAGCCTGAGCCTGAGCCTGAGCCTGCGCCTGTCTCGCTTCCACTCTCCGCTTGGCCCTGTTCTCGATGTCGACGCTCGCCTCCGTCGTCTCGGACGGCTCGCCGGGGTCAATGTTGCTTGTCCTCGCCCTCGAGCTGCTGGTGCTGGTCGACGCGCCGTCTGCCACTGACCGTCTTCGAGCCCGCTTGCTAGGCGGCACTTCCGCAGCCGCCGCAGCAGCAGCAACGGCCGCAATGCCGGTGCCTTTCTCCTTCTTCGGCGTGCATGTAGCTGTTTCTTCGCCCGAGGCGTCGCGGGAGGTCGGCTGGAGCTCTGCTGGCTGCGGGTGTAGATGCGAGGAGCTCCGCTTGCGTTTGGACGCAGCCGGCGACGACATGGCGGCTTGATGGAGCGATAGCTAGCAGCTTCTCCTGGCCTAGACGAGCATTGAAGGCAGGCTGCCGGGTGATGTTGGGTGGCTGTAGTCGTAGTTTATTAACTAGTTATTTGTGTGCTGGCGCCAGGACGAAAGGCGAGCTGTTCGTTTGAGCTGCAGAAACAAGTTTAAAAATATTTTTCTTGTTCAGGGGGCGCGACTGGTGGATCACCTTTTATATTCCATGCAATTAGTATTTAATATCCATGTAGGTTTTTTATTTTTTTTAATCTCTCGAGTCTTGAACTAGGTGTAGATCTACGGCCGGGGGATTTGCTGGGTTACTCGCTGGTTGGCTGCTGGCGGTGGTGAAGTCTGGATAGCTGCCAAATTGACAGCGACAGGACGCAGACAAGCCCATGGTTAATGGATAGATATCTACGGGAAGAATAGACGTATTTGCCTGTTGACGGAAGAACAAAAAAAAGTAACTAGTACGTTAAGGTAATTAAACACATTTGCGTGCAGCTGTAGCTGTAGCCGGAGCCGGACATAGCATAGCTGGCGGTGGTCGTAGTGATAGTGATAGATAGAGATAGCATGGGATTCCCTTTCCTCAGTCATTCATAGCATGGCATGGCGTAGCAGATCAGAGCATAGCATAGCATAGCATAGCATTGCATAGCATATCATGGCGGGCATGGCATGGCATGAC